CAACTCGATGCGTTTCACCTTCACCCGCGTCGTCGTGAAGCAGCACGAATTCGCGATTCACGCTTTACGGTTCACTGCCTCGTTGACTCCGAAGTCGCAACTTCAAACGCCTGATTTCCTCTCTCAGCGCGCGCACAAACGAGACCCCGTGATTATGATGCAACACAGCAAAATGTGCATCCAATTAGTACTTCGGCGGCGCCGAACTTGCAAGCCATAACAAACATCAGAAATGTCATAATCAGAGACAATATTCATGATGATAAATCAGCCGTAGCCAAGTTATTCAATACGCTCGCTGGTGTTTGTGTTGTGTTGGCTGAAGATGAAAATGCCTGTCGATGGCTCGCGCTCGAGTTTGAAGCAGTTTAGTTGAGTATAGAATTCTGGTTTTGAAGGAAGGTTACCGGTTACGATTGGAAATTATAGCGTAGCTGTCGAAGCAGCTCGTGAACGTGAAAGTTTCGAAACGCCTCAGGGGAGATTCGGTTCGGGCGAACTGGCAAGTCTAGTTCAACTCGTGCAGACTTACAAGTTGCATTCTGTGCCAACACAAGACATGAACGAGAACCAAAGTTCAAACTTTACCGTTTTGAACACCAGAAACTTCCTTCATCATATGTTTACACCAACAACAAAACCAATACAAATAACATTCACAAACAGAAAAATTATTAAAATCATTTAGAGTTAAATAGAATTTAAATTTAACACAAAACTAATTAAAGCTAGTGATTTGATTTGATTCGATTTCTATGGTTGTCGTGTTGATATGAATCGTGGTGGTGGTATCACTAGGCATCAACTCACGTAGTCATGGCAACGACGTGAGCGCAACCTCCAGGTGGCTGGCTGGCAGACAAGCGCGTAGGTGTGCGGGTAGGTTATTCCTCGTTACCGGGATACTAGGGCTGACCTAACATTACATCCTCCACGTCCACACCTACCAACCAACCACCTTGACAACAGCCGAACAAGCTTTGCCGCGTGTTGGCTTTACGGATAAAGGCTAAACTTTACACTGCGCTGGATTTGCACAAAGTTGACTCGCTGTCTCACAACTCTGGTTACAGGTAAAAGCACTATCAACTCAAATAGAAGCTTAACTTTCAGTGGACTTGCATAACACACGTATTGAAAGGTAATTCGTGTACCAAGTGAAAATTATCATTGAATTCTCCTATATGCGGAATGTTGTAACGACATTCCGGTGTTTAATCGTGTGCAGTTTGCAGAACTTTATTAAATTACGGATTCCGGAATTAATTTCGAAACTATGTGAGCTTTTCAGGAACACACAACAAAATATGAGGGAATAAAATTATTGGAAATATACAGTGAGCTGCTCTATTGACAAGCTTCCGTGAAACCTGTACTCGACAAAGCCCTCATTCAGAACTTCTGCTGAAATCCTTCGCCTATATTGAAAAGAGTTCGGAGGAAAACTACTTTATGCACCAGAATCGGCTTTATAGTACTTTACTACCAAACATGCGTGGAGTAGGTTTTATATTATTACAGTTGTTGTCGTTTTTCGTACGAAATTTGCATCAAAATTGAATAGAAATACGAAAATAATCAATAAAACACTGATATTTTACAGAAAATATAAAACAAACTCTCCGCAAAGTTGAAAACTTGACGGTTCACGACCATGAACAAAACAAGCTCTGAAAAATCTTGTCTCATCTAAACGATTGATCAATTCCTCAATTCTTTCCAAGTACCTATCCGGGCTTTTCTCTGTTCATTTTTCTCCTACTTTAGTTTCCCTTACCGATTGGATTTACTTTCATGGCGCATGAAACACATGTTGAGTCATACTTCTTCCAAGAACACTTATTTTTCTCCCTTTTTGTCCTATTATGTTGGTGTTGTTTGGCCGCGAAGCATGGAACATGCCACTCGTATATTTGTAGAGTACGCACACGATGAAATTTGTGAAGAAATATGTGGCAGTCTGAGCGAGCGAGTAAGAGAGGCCAATGATGGCTCATCTCGGGCGTGCCTCGAGGGACCGTTTTTATTATTCCAGTTTCTCGAATGCCAAACGAGGAGGCCTGCCTTTTCTTCTACGGCGAGCGAGAGCCGATTACGAGACGACGCGTATCTCGACTGGTTTTACCAGACGTGGAAGCCGAGAAACCGCAAAACCGAAGAAAACGAAGAGAAAAGCAGGTAAGTAAGTGTACTTACATCTGCTACGACTGCTGGTTATAATTTTCAATTTACAGTTGTACATATTTTTTTCCTATTTGAATATTAAATTGAATTATTTAATTAATTCGTAAAAACTGTTTTCGTTTTTATTTCATTTTCAACCAGTTTCGAAATGGAATTAATTTTAATTGCTAACAATGAAGCCAACAAATCCAAAGCGAAATGAAGACCCACTAATGTCTTCCTCGCCTGGAGGCTAACAACTTCTTTCTTCGAATCCTCCTCTCGCAAATGCATTTCGCAAGATTGAAAACAAATTAAAATTGCTTTTTACCCTCCGGGGCAAAACAAAGAATAAATTAACAGCACGTAACGAAGGCAATAGTTATTTATATATAGTGTGAATAGAACATTATTTATCCGAAATCGAAATACGATGGTTAAAAATGCACGTGCTCACGTTGCGCACAATGTGCGCGCGGCGCTCGATTATTGAAATAATTAGACCGTGACGCAAACGAATCATAATCGGCAGACCTCCGACAAGCGTGGCGAACATAATAATAGAAAATTAAATTCGTTTCCGAGATGCTCACGCACAGAAACAAAAAAAAATACATTAAGATGAAATGTTTCACCAACTAAGCAACATTTGCACAAATTCAAATAAATTTCATTGTGAATAAAAATATCCGCTTCAGGCGACGGATGGTTAAATAACATAAATAATTGGCCACGTGCCAAACTATATATAAAATAACCCATTAAAAAAACGTGCTTCATCAATGAAAATTTCGCACGAAAATTCCCTCCTGCATCCCATTTATTTGTGGAATGCGCAATCGAAACTTTAACAGTGTTCGCGAAATGTAAATATGAAAAACGGGAAATTCCCATTAGGCCACCGAATGCTAGCTAGTTTGATGTGCGCTCGCTTCGCGGAAAACTAAAATAATTCGAGAATTACGCTGTTATTCGCTCTGTCTGCATGCGTAAAGTGTAAAGTTTACTTTCGAGCGCGCGCTTATATTTATCTCGCGCAGACGGGCAGCGGCTTTATTTATCCTGGCCGTGCGCCAATTGGCAAAACGGCGCATTCACGTAAAAATTCACACGCCGATAATAATAAATTAACGAGTGTGCGCGTTCGTGCCGTGCGTGCGCGTAATTATTGTTCTCTTCGTCGTGCATCTTTCGTCGAGTCATTAGATACTTATTTATCGAGCGCGCAAAACCAAATAAAAAACAATGCATGACGCATCAAGAAAACCATCAGGAGATCTGATGAGAGAGTCTACCACACGTTTTATACGCTTGACCTTCAAACGCCCGCTATGCTGTGCCTGGGCAATAAAAATCAATATGCACACAACTCAATCTCAACAAGTGTCTTCCCTCTGAAGACAAGTTGCTACACAAGAAAAAATACCACACTAGAATTATTCTAGCACATGTGAGGCGAAATACTCTGCAGGTCGCACGAAGTCGTGTCGAAATTTCCAGTTCTTCTGGTTTGTGTCTAGCTTTCGACTTGTCCTTGAACTGTCCGCCATGAGGAAGAACCAATTAGGGTGGATCTGGTTCTGGCCTGTGCTTTTGTTAGTTATTCTCTTTTTGCACACACACACACACAGCAAAATGCATCAGCATCAGCGAACAGAGACCGAGAGATGAAGATCGCGCGACTAAACTGCAATAAAAGCGGTCATATATCTTTCGAGAGGGTCCATTGAAACGTCCCGCTGGGGAACGCCAAGCAAACGTTCTTTCTAGTTTTCGCTGAACTGTAGAACCGCCTTGCCCGGATAGGAAGATACTGGTGGCAGCGCTTGCTTTTATTCGCAGAACTCACAGCTCAATGGTTATTATTTTGCCGTCTCGGGTCGTATAAAATGTGTCATAGACTACCTAGATGTCAGAAGAGATTCCGGAATACATTGTAAATGTGATAAAAGAAAATTTAAAGCATCAAATTGAAAAATACGCAGAAAAACAATAAATTTACTGCGTAAAACATAAAATATTCAAATTAAATGACGCATAATTTTAACTCTTATCAAAAACTATTAATTCGCAAATATAATTGCGCGTAAATACGTTAATAAAACCGTAATTGTAAGCACTTCGATTTCGCATAATAAAACCCGATTAAAATGTGTAACACCCAGCGCATTGCTGGTGTTTATCGAATAACGCCGCGCCAGCAGAGCGTGTGTTTCACCCACCGCCGCCGCTGTCCGTTTCGCGCTGACGGCGGCGGTATGCGCTCAATTCGCGCAAACGTCTGCACTTTTCGGTCAGCACTTTTCCGGAGCACCGCTTGCATACTCGTAATCGTAATCGAAACCTCAGGACGCGCGGCGGACACGCTCAATCAGCAACAAAACGAAGAATGCACAATGTTATCAGAGTCGCAAACTTTCAAATTGTGTGTGTTTTACGAACGCGGCATAATTGCACACACACTGAAAGTTAGATGCATATTGTTGCACGATTGTGATTCGAGTTGAGGTCGTTAGGTTTAGTTTAACGGTCAAACGAATCAAGCCATTCAAGCCGATGAACGATGATAATCGTGATGTAAATACGCGCTGCGCCGCTGTGTGTGGATAAGATTAAGTGCATACAACGGCGGCGATTGTGCCGCAGAGCACGAATTAAAACGTGTGTGGGTCAGGAAGTTATCAATCACGATCATTATTTACAGCAACACAGTCTATGCGATCAAACATAATCGTAAATCCGCGCGCGAGCGCAAAAAAACACATTCAACCATTCAATCTGTGTTATCACAACTTAATAATAAAAATATGTGTGTAGTAGAGGATCTGTTTACAAACCTTTCGGATCGGGCGGTTCCGGCGTGCAGCTACGCTGCCGACGTATCGATTCGTGCGGCGGCTGGTGATGGTGATTGTGCTGCTGCCGGTCGTGATGGTGCGGTTGCTGCGCCTGCTGCTGGTGGTGCGCGTGGTGGTGGTGTTGTTGCGCGGCGGCGGCGATCGATGACGCTGCTGCCGCCGCCGCCGACGTCGGCTTCAACGCCCGCTGCTTACGCGTGTTCTGGCTCACCGTAGACGCCGCTCCCGTGTGCTGCACACCGTGCACCCCGGACAATCCTCTCACTATTCGACCCTGTAACATATTAAAACGAAAAATTGCATTAATTGCCGCACAAAATTTATTTCAACTGAGAAAACTGTTTCTATCGCAGTGGAATTATAAATGTAACCTAATGCGATCGGGGAAGAAGACCTATATAAAGGTAAATATAGTAAATCCGCTTTATACAAGCTTCACAACAAACAACTTTCCGTTGTAATCGGCTGAGTGGACTAGACTAATTTTTTCCCTAACAAAACTTAGTGAATTTATTATGATAATAAATAATGTAGAACTAATAAAACATTATGCGTGTAGATACACAAAATTCGCAATTTCAATTCAACTTGTGTTTTGAAATTGTTTTGATTTGTTTAGCGTGGCGAGAGAAATCGATATCGTGTGCTGGTTACAGTTGCGCTGAATAATTCAAGCTATCCAAATGCTTGCCGTTGCTCTTTTATGATTTTCCGCCTCTTTGTTCGTGCGGAGAATGCTGGATGCACCATTGTGTCGTGCGTGCTGCGTCGTCGCGCGGACGCCGGTTTAATTACTTCATTGAATTGCAAAATTGCCGCTATAAATAATCCGCGTAATTTACGAGCGCGCGCGAGATCGAATCAACTCCGTTTATTTTTTTTCCTCTATGTCACTTCTATTGGAAAAATCAAAAGATTCAACATCATATGCGTAACACAGTTACACATTGTTTGTTTGCATTCGAATTCCAGGAATTAAAAATGCAAATGCATCGCCGCATGCGAGGTAAACACGCGACGCGTAGGATGGCTGCTTCCCGCGGACATTAAAGTTGAATTAAACGTGCATTCAAGGCGAACGAAGGCGCTTAAGAGATTCCGCGCACGTTTCGACAAAGTTTCGCCATTCAACTCAACTTTCAGTGGCAACAACACACAACGCGCGCGCGCCTTGCGGTGGGAATTGCGCGCATTTTAGCCACTCCTGAAAACAACTCGCAACTGTGTTACTCAAAAACTTTTCCAAAACCGTCCGAAACCGTTGAGAGTGTAAAACATTTTCCATCGCCGATAAAACAAGTTTTATTTAGTTTCTACAATTTGCACTGAGTTGAGAGAACTATTCATTGACTTACGGCCAAAGTTTCGAGTTGCAAGTCATAAAATTGATGCCAACGAAAACACAACCACAAAGGAATAAGCAGCATGGTTGTGGTTCTTGGAAATTCACGTCGTTAAATTAACAAATTCATTTTAACTGGTTTTGTTTTAATTCGGCCAAAAATAGGTCGGCAGGTAAGCGCCGAGGCGTATTTTTCTCACCGCAAAGCGCGGACTGAAATTATAACAAAACACCGTCATAAAACACGAATGAAAATATTATGCGCGTGGCCTTGAGTTGAGCGTTTAAAATCAAATTATGTTCAGCGGTTGTTCACGCAAGACGAAAATAAAAAGTAACAAACACAAATATACCGGAAAAATATTTTAAACACAATTTCAATAAATTTCAACAAATGGAATTCAAAAATACGTAAAACGCGTTTTTTCATTGGAAATTTATAAAAATAGACTTGGCAATTTATAAAAACATTCAGCCATCAACAATATGTACATATACATGTTCACGTTTTAGTTGGCTTGTCACATGCTTCGGTAATGTGCCGTGGCTTTTTTTATATCCAATTATGTGTGTTACTCGCCTGCTGGCATGTTCGCATGTTGCAAAAACCGCTTTGCAGGCGAACAGGGACACGTGAGCAATGTTTGTAATATTTCAAGCTGCAATAATAGTGCCGAGATTTAACCGTGCTGATCATGCCTAGACATTCAGGCATTCGTGAATATGAGCGATATAGATATTGAAATCTTGTATGATTTCACACGCCATATTTATATTTATGACACAATGGACAATATTGACGCGTAAGAAGTAGGTACCTATGTATTTTGATAGCTTGTCAATTGCAATGAATAGACAGACGTTTTTAATATTGTTTTCGCGGCGAGCATGTGCGATACTCATCGAATCTGTTTACTCAGCTAGCGAATATATTTCATTGTCCATTGATTTTCGATTCAAACGCAGCGCCGCTGACGATAACACACGCTGAATGGCGGCGGCGCGGCCGGCCTCGAGCCGTCTGCCCGTCAATAAACGAATGATGTATTACCGATAGGCGAATTTGGTGTGAATTCCACGCGAATTAATTAACGCCGTAAGCGTGAGTGCGTTTTGTGTGTCGGCCATTTTATAAATTACATCATTAACAACGACCTTGTTCACAATTCGATTCGGAAACACAATCCGCATTGTATTCCAAAGTTGACCTTACCTAGTAAACAAATTCGCGTCGAGCACTGTGACACTATGTTAATCCCAAATTATCCGAAAACTGGCTCAAAACTCCCCCGCCTGGCTGTCGGTTAGATGACGTTCGCAACAATTGCACGATAATGCAGCGAAGCGCGCACGAAGCACGAAGCACCGAGAGAGGTTATTGTGTTAGGTTGTTACGTGTGCGGCGAACGCGGAAATGAAAATCGAATCTCGCACAACGAGTACCCACACACATTTATCCACACACACACAGAAAACACACACGCGTGTCAAGCCAAACACGGCCAACAACTGCTTGGTTGCGAGAGCAATACTCGTGCTAGTCCTGCACTCGTTGCGACTAGCGCCCAACTGCAGAACTGCCTGCTTGCAGGCCAGCTGCACGCCCGCACGCGATAACAGCGCGCCAAAGTCGACCTCTTGCGTCACTTGCAACATCCAGCAGCCATTAAATGTGACAATTTTCTTCAAGAAATTATAAAAACTCTAAAAATCATCTAATTTTATATAAAATTTAAAAAAATTTTCACTCTAATTAAAAAAATTATAAAAATTACATAACAGAATGAATGATAATCAGAGTTTTGTACCGTCTGTGGTTTAAATTTGTTTTTCCTGTTGTGGATGATGATTCCCGAGGAAGGTCATGTCGCCCGATGCGGAACAAAGAGAAAACGCTGCGTTTGTGAGTGCTACGACCCGGTCGCCCGACCGACCGATTCCTCTTCTCCTGCTGTCTGCTGCATCCAACTCGCAATTGTATGCCAACCACGCGCGCCAGCAATGTCGGCGTGTTCCTGTGTGTTAGCGCCGTCTGGGCGTGCACACACCGAGGAATACATCGACTGGAGAACGAACGACGACGACGAGCAGCAAACGGCACATTCGCGCGCAGGCAATTTATAATCGCCGCCGCCGCCATCGCAGTCGTCGGCGCGCACGAACGCGTCGGTGTGCATAACACAGTTTAATTTATGTCGGAGCATGTACACGGGATTTTGCTGCGAGTATGGGTGAGCGTGCGTGTGACCGGTCCTGCTGCACGCCCGTCGAGGACGAACCGGTTCAGGGCGCAGCCGCCATCGCCAACAGTAACACCAACGCCAAACTCGCCGATTTTCACTTCAACTGTGATTCAACTGACCTCAAGTAAATATTTATTTACGTTGGTATTTTTTTTAGGCAAATATTAGGTAATTTTATAAATTAATCTTTAATTTGATTTTTTTCTCTTATTTGTGAATGCAGCGCGGAAACAGATGTGCAAAGAATTTATTTCTAAACCTCTCATCTCTTCCAAGATCAAACAGACTAACAAACATCACAGAAACTCTAAAGAACACCAAAAGATTAAAGAATAACAAACAGTTTCTATTGTGTCACACTTCAAATCCGCTCAAATCCTAAGAGTCTATCAATATCCACATTTTAATTTAATTAAAACTTGTTCACAACATGATTTTTGATACATGTTCCATAAAAAATTGATACGATCACAGGAAACCGGTTTATTTAATGACTTGATTCCTGCGTACGATAAATGCTAAACTATAAATTTCGGTGGAAGCTACGGGGAATGAAAGAGAGGCGAGCAGGGCGCATCAAAGTGAATGAACTGGCTGTGGGTGTGTGCGGAGGGTGCAACCCTTTTATTGCTCAACAGCCGCGCCATCGCCAGCTGCTCGGTGGATGTTTCGATCCGATATGCTCTAGTTACTTCCCCTCGCAGCGCAGAGAACAGGCTTTTGTAGCCGAATATCCAAGTATCAAGTTCGAGATCCCCACACAACAGTCAATGCACCTTGCACTTGCAGAGGGTCAAAGACCAACATTCATATTTAATACGTGAAAATTTCGTCATTTAAATATATTGACCTCTAGAATGCAAATTATTGGAAATAATATATAAAAATGATTTGCTGTTCGTTAGTCTCGCTAAAACTCGAGAACGGCTGAATGGATTTATCTTATCTTGGTCTTGAATTATTCGTGGAGGTCTAGGGAAGGTTTAAAAGGTGAGAAAAATTCGAATAATTGCCGGGAAAATCCTCAAAACAGCTCTTTTCTATAGAATAAAATTTGACATTGAGATTCAATCATAGTTATAGTTAAATAGTTGAATTCGAGATGGCGCGCTGAAGTGCATTATTGACAAAACTTTATATGCATAATTTCTTTAAATTAAAATTGCTAATCTTATTGATAGAATTGACTCTTACTACGAGTATGTCTAGAACAAGAGAGTAAAAACGAATTACATTTTTATTAAACACTGCCGGAACGAAGTCGCGGGCAACAGCTAGTTGGAAATATTTTACATCATCTGCTGAATTAACTTCAACTATTTCTTTGTTTTTGCGATGAAAAATGAAAAAGAAAAATCATGACAGATATTATGATCATGTCATGTATAATTTTTTTACTATCATGTTTCGTTACATCTTCAGAACGAGAGAAGATGATAAAATGCATTTATCTGCCGGCTCCACTTACAGCTTCTTTTATATTTACGACTGAGTATAAAATAAAAATATATAATAACACAATGGCTGCGGAGTGAATCAACTCCCGGCTAGTGTTCTTTTGTGTAACATAACAGACATGGAACGCATGCCACCTGTTTTCATGCCTTCCAGAAATACAACTTTCCAAATTTAATCGAAATGCAATCAAGCTGAGTTAACAGAAATCTCATTTTAAGAAAAAGAAATAAAAAACTCAATAAAAACTCATCACTTCAATGAGCAAAACAAAACAAAAAAGAAGTTTAAAACAGTTTTACACGGTAATGACTAACGGATACTTTTCTCGATTTTACTCGCTGGTACTTTCAGTTGCTTTAATCAACAATTCCAACCAACTATTCGAAACTTTCCAGTTAAACTCTATTAAGAATCGAGCCAGAAAACTATTAAAACTTTCTTAGATCATCTCCGCGAGTTTTATCCCTGCAACCATTGCTCGCACATCATACATTGTCCCCGAGTTTTCGTCTCGTACAACTGTAGCCGGGTTTGAGTTTGTCTTTGAGTTTCCCTCTTTATCTCGACGTCAATTTGGTTGGGAAACTTTTTCGCCATCCTAGAATGTTTCCCAACTATTTATTGCGAGTGTTCGCAAGTCGCTAAGTTGGTAATAGAGAAAGAATATGGCAGGAAAAGTTGAACAGTTACGACTTGAGCGGCGGCGTCGCCGACGCAAGTCAAAGTTTAACGCCGCGCGTGCGGCGCGCAAAAGTTTTCCTACTTCTGGCGGCGCTGCGAAAAGTTTTCCCTGGTCGTCTTCGAGTCGAACGCCGAATAAACTGTATAAACTCGCGCAAAGTTCCGCCGATAATTCATTCAGAAAGTTTTTCGCCTCTCTCAGCTCACTTGGTGGAGAAGAAACTTTTCACGCTGCGAGCTTTTCCTGCTCGTGCGTCAATTAAGCGCACTGCTTATGTAGGGATAGGTTGCGGTCGGCCTCACCATGCGGTTTAATTAAAACGACTATAAATTACTTTCGCAGAGTTTTCCCGCCGTTCAAACTTAAATTATTTTTCTTGCAGCCTCGGAGAGTTTTTCCAAACATAATTAAAAGTTTAACGCAAACCAACAACAGGAAAAAAAATAACACAGCGATCAAAGCTTTCATTTGAGAACAGATTTCTTTTGAAGAGATTTATAATATAAAATATACATTTATAAGAAGAGGTCATCAACCTGTGGCGCCAAATTCAATCCTTTTATTTCACCACCACATGCACCGCGGCGTTCAACTATCGCGCGTCTGCATCTGCAGGACGCAGACGTTTTACAAGCGCGGATTAAAACGAGTCGAGAGAGACTTGATCGCCGTGGCCCAGGCTTTAATAGCAGCAGCAGCAGCAGCAGCAGACGCCGCGAGTTGTAACTTCCAACTTGGAACGCAGTTATAAACTCTTCTAGTAATAACATGGCCATGTTACGCCGATGGCTCGCTTGCATAAAGTTATCTATTGCTGGAGGCGAGATATAATAAAGTCTAAAGTCGGAAAGGCGGAGAAGAAGAAGAAAGAAGCACTTCTACTTCTCTGCCAGTGTAGTAAAAAGATGGCCGCCATGGCTGCGAGGCTCGCGCGCAGCATGAGACTTTCTACATTCGACACACACGCATGGTTGAAACTTGAAATGAAACGCTAGGTCGGCTTTAATAATAACTACGTCGCCGGTTTAGCTTTATGGGCGCGCATTTTGCTTTAATAAGGCGCGCGCATCGAGATTTCTATTTCGCAGTTAGTCATTTCGCGCGCGCAGTCACACTCGGCGAAGCTATGCAATTCACATGCGCACGGATTTACTGTTAGGATAATCAGTCAAGAAAGGCTGGAAGAAAACGACGCTCAACGCGGTGATTTACATCGAAATTGCGATGCAATTGCTATTACTATATTCTTAAACCAATTGCAAATTCATTCACTTTTATTCGCATCAATTTAAAATCTAAATCAAATTTTAAAAACATTTTAAATTCTAAAGAGAACAAAAATTTGAGCAAAAAAAAATGAAAAATTGTCTCAAAACACGCAAAAATTATGAAATTTAAAAATAAACCTGAAATTAATTTTTATATTTACTTTTTACCTTCGATTCACTTCAAAAAATATATAAATGCCTTCACGCCACGTGCAAAACTTGTCAATTTAACTATTCATGTTATTTTAACAAAAAACCTGAATTAAATTCAGTTAATAATTAATTTAAGACGATAGTTAATGTATTATCATGGCATATAAGCAAAAAATAAAAATTATATTCAGAGTATTACACAAAGTTTAATACATAAGTACTTTCACTCCATGATCCGCGATACTCGGCGCGGTAGGCGAGATTTGATGTGTTTTTAAGTACACATTTCCTCACGGCAAGACGCAATTGAATACGCCGGCGATTGCAAAATCGGCGCGCGAGTTTTATGCACTTGCGCGTTGACGAAGTACAAAGAAGTGACGAGAATTATTCCACTAACTGCGGTGCAAGCGGAAATCGTGAATGAAATGATTAAAGAAGTGAACGGCCAGCTGTACGTCGCATGTCGAATGCATTATATGATTACATTTAATAGCACAACACGCGACGAGAGACCAACCCAACGACGACACCAGGCGCAGAATATAAAAGCAATAACTGAATCTAAATCAAATCAAATCAAATTAAGCGAGTTTATGTAGAAATCATAAAACACGAATAAACACCAGAGGAGAAGAGATTCACTTGAATGTCAAATGCACCAGTCGCATGATTACTAATGCGCCTGCGGAAAATCTTCAAAGCAAAGTTTCCGCGAAAATGCGGAAGTCACGGTTGTGCAATGACACGGATTGTAATCGTCAATAGATGGTAAATGTCAATAGCATGCGCGGAGCCGCACAACGCTATTGGGATTAAGTGGAAAACGCGACGTTTAGCATTCTGCTTACGAGTCCGTGGAGAATTGATATGCGCGCATAGAATGAGAGACGAAATGACTTACCGTTTGCTGGTGGTGCTGTTGCTGGGCTTGCAGAACTGTCGAACGTGAACGGCGTGGTGTAATTCCGACGTTTTCACCGCGCATTATTGATTCCACAACTGAAATTACAAATTAAAAAAATACAACATTATTAAATCAATTTATTTAGGTACATATTAAGAAAATTCCTGTCGATAAAAATTTTATCCTGACCGGAGAAAGAAAACTTTTATTACACTTATAAAAATACTCATGTTTACGAGAAGCATAAAAAGAGCGCTCGATTGTAAAATATAAAATTTCAAAGATTAAAGCGATTAAACGACTCGAATCATTAAACTCAAGCGCACACACCGCACACGCTTCAATTACCTTTTCATTGGAATTACTCAAGATTCGCAAAAAGTTATTTTATACCCTATTACATTGAGTTTCCGTCAAAAATAAAAAAAAAATTATATTCTCAGACAAGATAAACTTTATCAATTTATCAATGACGCAAGTTATGTCCTCAATTTTAAGTATGTACTTAAAAATTGATAAAAATTGATATCAACTACTTGAATAACATGAATGAATCAATGGAAGTGATGTCATTAATTACCATAAATAAAACGTAATTAATTAATTATACACTATTCTATTCAGAAGATGGAATTAAAAAGTTAAAATGTAAGCTATTATACTCGTCGAAGGTCAAATAAAGGTCAGTGCTGTAGTTATAGATTGCGCGGTAAGAAGAAAAATAATGTTAGTCTGCTTTTATCGCCGGAATGTCAAAGGGCAGCACAAATTAATGATGCCGGATGAGTCAGATTACCACCGCCCATCGAAACCGAATACAGGACCAAAGAGAATAGAAGTCGTGATTAATTATTAAACTCACCTCCGTCACCGATGAGGCGCATCTGCACCAGTGTCGGGTCTTCGTTGTGTTCTTCCAGCACGGTATCATCCGTGACGGTCAGGTCCTGTGAAAAACAAGGAAATTTTATAAAGTTTTGCAATTAAACAAAAATTAGTTTTTTTGTTATTTTCTGCGTATTTTCATCAAAAAAAAACTAAAAATAGTCCTTGCACACTTCATTCACACAATGTTTGTGGCGCAAAGTTCAATTTTCTCCGGTGGTTTTACGCGCGGTCAACAAAAACCACACTTTTCTCTTTTTCTAAGCAAGGACTCGAAAAGCAAGGATATCCACATAGAAAAAATGCACTCACGTGTTGCGAAAACTCGCCACGAAATTGGAACAAAGTTTCAGCAACGCTTCAGTCGGATTTTAATTGAATTTCCCCGACAATTCTCAGCGCGCTCCACAGAGTTCGAGTTTCATCCCCCTCGACGCGCGCCCCATTTTAGTTTCCCGAGTTTCCGACTTCCCGCAAGCGTTTACCAACTTTCGTCGGGGCGCAACCAACACATTAATGCACACATTCACCCACAAAACATTATTAACGCGTACGTTTGCATCTAACGGGAGTTCGAAAAACAAAAACTTTTGTTTCGAAAACACACCCATCAAGTTAGATAAACATTAGCGGAAAGTAAACACAACACGAAATTAATTTTCAAAACAAACACAGCGATAAATTTCATAAACATTACGATATCGCCAGTCGGGTTTTTATAGTCCATTCAATTCCGTCGTTGTGATTGCAATAGAAAATTTCATTGTTTTAATTGTCGATGACGCGATCGATTCGCCCATGCATGTCGCGTGTAATTTAATTTCACGTCCATTAGGCATGCTAAAATATGCGCGAAACTAGAATATCGATTGCGTCTCATTATAGTGCTGCGCATTTGCATAATTTACGGGCAAAACTTTGTAACTTTTTTTTTACAATTTTAGCGCGTGCATGGCGCGCCGCAGCTAAATGCCACTTATCATAGTAACTGCCTACTCGTTTATTATGAAAAATATGTCGGTTGTAAACAAGATACGGGCGCTTTTGTTGTAATAAAAATAAAACGAGCGCATTCTGCGGTAAAGCGAATAACGTTAGAATTCATTATCGCCTAGGTCCAATATCCACAATTTCACAACACAACACAACACACACTCACAGAAATTAATTCCAACATTAACATTTCAGTATCGTTAACATTAGCATGGAAGAATGTAGTTCCTGCTTGGGAGATTCGTGTTTTGCGGTTAATAATATCAGTTAAGTAATAAAATATTCCCAATGACGCTTGAATCTAATTTTTATTAACAACTTTCGCTTTTCAGTAACGTTTTTCGTTTGACTTGCAAATCGCGTCGGTTTTTCCATGCTTTTAGCAATAAATTTACTTTCAACTCGATAAAACTAATTATAAAACCAATTAATTTCGATTCACATCAAAGTGACAATTAGATACCACCCCGGCTTTAATATTTTCGAATGTCAATTCGCTCATTAATTCCTTTCTGAAGAAGAAGAGAAGGTTTTTTTTTCTCTCATCGTGTCGCAATTTTAATCCCCTATTGAGACGGGTTGACTTTTTGTTTGGTTTCCCGGGGCAAAGTCGGGAAAACAAGTTTAATTACTTAATCAATACCAACTTCGGGTGGTTCAACTTTTCCAATGTCGGCAAACGGGCAAACTTTTCCGACGTAAATTTTAATAAATTAAGCCCTTGAGCGGTGGTACGAACAACGCCTTGTCTTATATTTCATTTTCTGCGCTTTTTTTCTAATGATGTTTGTTTTCAACTCGCAGCTTTTATTTCTTTGACTCAGGGTAAAAAATTAGAAAATTAAAACGGAACTAACTAAAGAAAAGCAGCAGAGAAAACGGTAGTCGAGGAAGTCTTTTATGTCAAACTCCAACAAAAACACGCGAAAAGAAAGAAAAAGTAATTGCTTCGTAAAAAATCAGTTTTTTTGTGTTATTGTAACAATGTTTAAAGCATAATAAAGTTAATTAGAAACTCGAAAATAATTAAAAATAGTTCACGACTGCAAAGGTTATTCATTAACGAAATTAATTAACTGCAGTTTCAGTGAGTGCATAAAACGAAAATTATTATAATTAAATATGAATTATACTAACCAAAATTCTACCTAATGTGAATTATTCAAATAAACAGGTAAATAATTTACATAGCAACATATTTCCAACTGAAACTGTAGACATTTCAGGAGAAAAGCACGTGAAACGCTCGATTTATTTACATTCGCGAAATTATAAACCACCAACTCCAACTCGGTTTAGCCTTGTTCGAAAATATTTACGAAATTATTCCGCATGTGCACACTTTTCATACATCTCGCATAACATGAAAAACGACCGGCACGGCGCGAGCATTTATTTTCGTAGCATTTGGATTTCGACGGCAACATTTCCAACATTAGTCTACAAAAAGATCAACATGTAACGCAACACGAACCCAGTTCGCGCGAAATTCCGGAATTCCTGCATAAAGTTCCCATGTTTACGACCTCGCGGACGCTTCGATGCCTCGGTTTTTGCATTCGCATTAAAATGCGTCTGATGTCTACATGTGCGTTTATTTTATTTAAACGCAGCGCACGGCGTCGACGCATCCGACTCTAATTGAACTAATTCGGCGCGCGTAAATGGCGAGATTGTAACTGTTTACACACGACGCGTCGATACTTCCTAGAGTAAATTTAAGCATGTAAGTAATATAAACATGCACGTCCATGTAAAGGTGATACATAATTCATTATCTTGCGGCGCGTTGGCGTCGACGCAACCAAAACAAAAAGACAGACACGTCAAAAGTCTAATCTGCGCAGGAAAGCTATGAATATTCATAGGAGCTGTCCATGCAATAGCAAAATCGCAACATGTAGAATATGTTAAATATATTGTATTATTCATCATGCTGCTAGTCTTCTTAGTCGTTTCACTACATAAATGTGTCATCGCATAATTTACGTAAATGTAAAAAATTCGCTTACCCTTGTAGCTTCGTTGTAGCCGACGATAACGGCGGTGTACCATTGCGTGGTGCCCTCGGCGCGATACACCTCGACGCGATAACCCACCAAAACACTAGGCGTCGCCAGCAGGATGCGTTGTCCATCCTGTTGTTCTGCCCATCGTTTGACAGCCTGTCGCAGTTCCGGGTAATCTCTTGCGCCAGGTATTTTTGAATCCCAATCCTGCAAAAAAATTAAAAAAATCATTAAAAATATAAAAACAAGATAAAATTAAAAATGTGATTATATTGTAGTTGGTTAATGCTGGCGTAAGCTTCTTCCCTATTTGTATACTTTCAGTTTGGCTTCATCCACTTTCGAGAATCCAGTTTGTAAGCTCATTTGCGGTCGCAGTGGATAATGCATCATTCCCGATCGCATGTTGCACGTCGGCGTGGTCGGCGGTTTGACCATGTATGGCGTGACACGGCACGAGAACACCGGTGCATTTTCTAAGAAAATGCGCGCGAGCCGCAAAACTTGCTTTCACATGCAGGCATTATTCTGCGCCGGAGAGTCGATAGTCATGTTCCGAAACGGCGATGATAACGCGACCAACCCGACGTGCAGAACCGTGCCACGGCCACATTATGCGAATTGGTAACTCGTAATCAGAGAAGTCGATAAATATAAAAGTAAAAAATACAAAAAAGTGCGCGCGTACAACGCCTGCGAAGCGTTGGCTTACATTCATGCCGTCTTAGTTTTACTTTATGACCTGGCACTCGCATGTCAGTGAATAATTTATTGAAATTGAATTTTGCACGAAGAGAAAAACCAATGCAATTTGCAATTCAATTCAAAGCAAAATTTTTAATTGAAAAGTTTCGCCTCAAACTGATCACATTATGATGATCTCTGATTGTTCTTTTTGTCACCTACGAAAACTTTGAACGCGAACAAATTAATTCTATTTCAGTCCGCAATTAAAACGGAATGGAACTTTTCACTCAGCCCGAGTGAAAATGTCCCCAAGAGGGAGACAGCGATTCTTAAACTTGGAAAACTTGGCAACTTGAAAAGTTTGCGTGTTTTCCAGTGTTTTCGAAGCGCAAAGAAATAAAAACTCATCTTAAAATCGAAACTTTGCGCGCGGGCGAAAATATTTTCCGCACAAAAAGATTTGCGCCGCCTCCTTCCAACTTTGCGCTGTTTCTCGGGGGCGAGTTGCGAGACAAAGTTGTTTTCCGTGCGCAAAAGGAGAAAAACGCGGCGCAAACAAGTTTGAGTTTCCAAAGTTGCCGCCGCGCGCAAGTTTCACCCAACTTTGCCAACTTGTCGGCGGCGGTTCGTGTTCATATCCACATTCGAGCATTCAAAACATTCAAAATTTCAAAGTATTAAACTTTTGTCATTATAGCCAACATAAAACATTTTCTACTCTTCCCAACTACAAATATAATTAACATTAATGTGGCACATTGATTTAAAAATCGAAAAACTACGCATGCAGCGCAATTAAACTTTAATCCTGCTCTTCGGTAGTTGGCAGTTTGATTAATTACATTTTCATGTAAAAGTCGCAAACTCTGTGAGTTGTTTTCATTTCGTTTTTTTCCTCTTCTTCAAATTCTCGACGTGTCAAGTTTTCTCGTTACACAAGTTTCCAGTTGACGGCGAGTTTGCACGAGCGGTGGAAACTCTCCTAACTTGTTTACCTAACCGATGAGTTCCCTCATAAATTTCCTTCCACCTAGCTGAATAAACCGCGGCGTGGAGCAACGGAAAAATAACCGATTCAGCATTCTGCTGTGCGCAAACTTTACAAAAACGAATGAATTTATTTCTATCGTTTGTTTTCGAATCAAAGAAAGCAGCAGCGAGAGGAAAAGTCATTTTCCACTTGTGTTTTCTTCGATCAACTTTTATATTTGAATCAAAAACATCGCTGAAATCTTTACATTCACATATTCATATCTTGTTTTTGACAAAATCATTGTTAGACATACATTATTCGGTCAAATACAAGAAATAGAAACGAATGTGAAATGTTTATCGACAAAAGCAAGTGCAATTCATCCATGGTCGGTGAAAGAACCCGCCGCAAAAACCGCACCGCCTCGTTGGCGCAAGAAAACGTTAATTATAAACTAACTGTAAACGCAATTCGTAACCGCAAGTGCGCGTACGGTTTCTGCATGCATCGCGGATGCCATTAGAGGCATTAACAGCAATAATAACTCAAACCCAGCAAGCTCTAACCTCCACCTGGTATTTAACTCAGCTATGCAAACTTTTTACATTTTTTACATTGTCAAAATTAATTTTTAACATTTCTGACCTCTGTTAAGCAATCATAGATTAGTCATAGAATCTGCAGACGCGACATAACATATCAAGGCGTTTTCCGCTATTTTCTAATTAGTCGCTATTTGTTTTATAGGCCAACGAGCGCCACTCTTCCGGATATTACCGATATTATCAACTTTTACGCTCCTAACGAGTTTACCTATTAAATGTTCGAGAAAAAAATCTAATTACGTAAACTAATCAAGCTGTAAAACGCTAAAAGAAAATAACACATAAAGTTTAAACGCAATTATGAAAAGACAAAAGCCAATTTCTAAATCAATTTGCTTGCAATTTCTTGCTGGATTAGAGCATGGCGTCAATGACTTCAAGCATTGAAAGTTCAGACCGTTCAGATACATTTAATCACAAAGCAACGTAACGACAAAAACATCAATAACGGAATAATTAAGCCCTATAACAACAGAATAAAAAATCATGATTGTAGTAAATATGAGTTGTGTACGATGACTCACATGCCAATCGCAATCAGAAACTTTGCTCGGAACCCGATAGTTACCGGACTGTTAACCATGGTTTGCATTTTAAATTGATATCGATGGACGTGGTAAGTGCATTCGAGCTGAACGACCGGCGCTCCGGTCGTCGAGCGCTCGATGAACGTCATTTATTAAATATTAATTGCGCTGTGGACAGTGCAGTGACACACGCCGCAATCGAGCACATGACGAATGAATTGTCATCATTAATTCAGGCTCGCGCTATCGATTCACGGTTTATTTTCGTACCTTCCGACGGCTATTTATAATTACTGTGTGAAGCTGATATTTTTTCTAAGGACTTTTGAAAGTTAAACTGTTGAATCGATTCATGAATGAATCATTTCCTAGATATCTGTTTGCCATCCACTATAAGTAATAGTGTGCGAAGTTGAGTGACTGACGTTTGTCACTTCTGTGCCAGTTTTGAGAGAAATTGCGCAAAAGCAATAACCTGTTGAGCCTGATCTGTCGCGTCTCGTTTCCTTCTTCGCTTCCACATTCGCATTCCCGAGAGCATCACATCAACCAGGCACCAGACGAGAAAAATGATATAAAACGTAATGTGAGGCCTGCGTATCGCACAAAGCATGGCTAAAAGTGTCAAAAACTTGATGTGAAAAATGACTACGCGCTTCTGATGACAGAACACGAGAAGATTTATAAAAAAAATTTAATCATGGTCTTTATTTGTCCATTAATAAAATTTCACGGCTTATTATTAAAAATATTCAGCAAAATTTATATTTATCAATTATTTAAATATTTAGAAACTTTATTATCGCCTGAAATACTTTGCGATATCATGTGTCATGTGTCATGCACTACCAGCTATTAATAAATAGACGTTCAGATCATTAAAGCCACAGTTTTTCATGCAAATGCGCACGCAACGTTTGCACATGTCAGCTATTATTATCTCGGGCTGTTTTGACGTTGACCACTTTATCTCGTACAATTCTTACGCACACCGAGATAATTTCCTATTTAACTATAATTCGATTAAAAATAAATCGTTTTGGTGCTTGTTTAGTAGTAAAATAAAAATACTGCTGGCGTAGTACATACTTGTTTTTGTTTATCAGACATACAAGTACCCAATTAATCATTATGTAAATATATCGTTATCTACGGACTGATATTGACTGAATTTTCAAACTGCATGCAACACGTAGGCGTCAGGTGCTGGATTCGTGACGAATTCATTATGTTTCTTTATCATATGCCAATCAGAGTCAATAGAAATTCCAAATATGTATTACGTAGTAAGTGATGTTTTGATTGTACTTAAATCGGATTATCTTGTCATGAGTTATCAAAGCAAAAGTCTCAATAATTAAGTATTACTTAAATAGTTTTATCGATAAATTTTCGATGATTTATTGAACAACTGTTGAAAAATGAACCGCAAACTCTAGATAAATATTTCTAGAACACTAATAACTCGATTGTTTGACTAGCTACACAAACCAAACAGCAATTAAGTGCTAATCAGCTTGCTCAATGATAACATTCATTAATGCCGTCTATAAAATTACAGAACCACTACCAGCATGAAATCTTGCATCGCGTTGCAGTTGAATAATTTGCTTTTCTAAAATAGGAAGTCATTACGAGCTCGTTACGAGCCGGGAATTAAACAGCATACAACTTACACCAACATACGCATGACTAGTAGATATGATTTTTGTTGGCGCATCGCATGTGTGCTGGTTTTATTTATACGACAAATTTATGTGTGACGATTAAAGTGAAAGGTCAACCGCAGGCGACCTCGTTCCACGCTGCACATGCACACCACGTACCACATATCCTTATTTATATTGCTATTGCTACGTACACATATTCTCTGGCTTATGTAGTGTTCTGCAGTTAACAGTTTACACAGCGTGTGTGCTCGAATGTCTCGCATGCACTTTCGTTCGCCGCAGCGGATCGAATTTTACGCTCACCGGTGTAATTCCACGTGAGAGACACATGAGAGACGTGAAACATGAAACACGAAACCAGACGCGCATGAAAATATCTACACCTGAGCGCATCATGCGAGAGTTTACTTTTCTCGTGACTAATCGAACCGAAATCCAAGTAGTATACACTGATGAATGATTAAATCGAATTCTATCACAACAGGAAGTGGTTTTCTAATCGCACACTTGCTATGTTTATCAGAGACGAGCTATGAATTAAATTTCTGCAAAAATAATTATTATGACTGTGTAGCAAGTTATAAATAATAATTACTCAATTAGTCACACAGCGCAAATATTTATGTAATACATATGTATCGCCAGAGGCTTCTTTCAACTTTTTACAATCAACCGCAAGCAACAGCGGAAATGACTAATATTCAAAAAATTATTTTCGAATAAATTAAATAAGAAATTCAAGACGCCAGATGCGTTAAACTTTGGACCGCAAAAATTGTACGAAGAAGAGTAATAAATAACAGGAAGTCGTAACATCAACATCCAAAACGAATTTATGTCGTATTATGACTACAAAAGTAAAAAGTTAAAAGTTGCGCTTACCTGGTAAGGTTTGAGATGTTTATAATCAGCGAATGACAATTCTCTGTCGAGTAGAAACTCCACCGGCTGATTACTTCCGTTGAGATCTATGGTGGAGACCAATGATGAAAATGTCTGCAATAAATAATTAAATTTGTAATAAAAATTACAAAAGACAAATTTGTTTCAAGGTGTTCAAGGTGATTCGCGTCGTGGAAGTTGTGCAACTTTTGTTCAAAAGTCAAAGTTAAACAACCTCGACAATGACATTTAATTTACTCACAAAAATAAAACACAACAACCGCAGTGAGTGCTCAACAAGTCACTTAACATTACGTGCAAAAGACAACGAGTGCTTTGTGTTTATTTTCATGCTTATTGTTTAATATTGTTATGCTCCTAGTACCAGTATGTGTATGTGTGTGTGTGTGAATTGTTGAACAATATATAAGTACGCTTGATGGCGATAGCAATTTCGCACGCGGTTTTTTTTTCTGCTGCACGCGGCGACCGCCCAGCTCCGCGCCGAGACAATTAAATTCCGTCTAACTCAATGGCAATTTCATTGTTGTATTGTCGGGAGACGGCGGTGTTATTCGGCGCGGTACAATGTAAATTCTATTCACGACTGTATTGTGCATTGTTTCGCCCCGCGCGCGCGGTATTGTTCTAAGCGGAGCGCGTTTTTAAATGGCCGCACTCTAGTTTAATTTGATTTTACATAGGTACAAACGTAACACACACACACATATCAGGAAATATCTCACATGCAGGCATAATAAACGCAGTATTCTTGTGTGTATGTGGGTAAAATGGCTTCATAACCGCGAGTTCAGCCTTCACAATCGTTTTTATTTATTTTTATTTTTATAATGATACGTTTGTGAGCGTCTTTTTTTTAACATCATTGTTTAAACTACAGGTTGAGACACTTTAATGACGGATGATAAAAAAATATCATCAATGCTTGACTTTCAATGACCTTAACAATAAAAAATTATAAAAAAAATTAAAAACACGCGTTATTCTTAATTTATTATAACTTTTAACAGAAATATTTATTATTTCTTATAGTTTTAAACGTAGCAGAGGAAAATAGTAAATTTCCTTGTTGAAGTCGTTGAAGATATAAATCCAGTTGTTATTTCTAGTAACACTAGCAACTCAGTTAGTCGTCGTTGTTGTATGTTGGCTGTGGTGCGCAATGCAACTTTGTGCAACTGTTGATTTAGTTTCGCCAGCCCGCCAGCCGGCGAGCAATAAATAAGCGGAAAGCGAGAACCGCCGCGAACTGGTTCGCGGTGCATGAACAACGGCGGCTGCAACTCGCGGGCTCTTCATCAATGTTTGTTATTGTTGCAAACATTCTACATCCATGCGCATGCTGTTGATGTAGTTAAAACTGTTCGCGTGGCCATGTGTAAGTGCAGTTGAGTTGTGTGCTGCAGCGTTATGAAGTTGTTGCTGTTTTATTGGCACTCGGGGCGCCGCCGCCAGCAGCATGATAGCCGAAATTGAACTTAACCGAACTGAACTCAACTGTACATTGCGCTTTTGAGCGTAAACAATTATAAATTGCAGCTCAAAACACGACAAACATCAACAAACACCACGCAACAATGAAATTAGGCAAGAAACATAGTTCATGGGTTCAATTTTGGCGGAGAAAATCGGAATCCTATTCTGTTTTGTTCTAAATAATCGATATAAAATGTTTTTTAAATAAAATTTCTATTTATGTAATTAACACGGCTTTGCGGTGAAATATCAAAAAATAAAATAAAAGAAATAAAGACATTTACTAACATTTTCGCGAAACTATAAATAAATAATCTAGATTCCAGTTAAACTAAACTAAAATGCAAATGTGAAAGCTAATATAACATAATCACATCCAACATCCTGCATAGAACGCGCGTAAGGTCAATAATTCACGACACGAAATTCAAATCGTGCAAACACACAACTCACTCACACAAAACATACAATTTCCAGCATCATGCATGAGCGAGTTGCTGGTTGGCATTGGATATTCTCCGATACTCGCAATGCGTGCCTCGTGACCAAGTGAAAACCCGCCGATCCGCAACCGACTCGTTAATTCTCCTTATTTATTAATCTAGGAGTATGTACGTGTACACGACCGCATCCGACGCACTTCATTATGCTTTCAACATAACTCACACACACACATGGATATACGAATCGATGTCGGACAACAAAGTCGAATATATCGTAAGCGTGTGATGTGACTAACCAACTCAACAACAGTAAACCGATTAAATATTTAAGTATTCAAGATTAACCGCAAGCCATTGCACACATTCATCACCGTGTGTGGGTTTTATATACACCATTCATGAAACCGGAATTGAAACAAAGTAAAAGACATAATAAAAATATACAAAAAAAAAAAATTAAAAACACGCTGTTTAACTGCTTAAAATTCAATTTGACTTTGTTGTAGTCATAGTGTAGTTATATCTTGTTTGTTTAAGGATTGCACAACCAATTTATTAGTACCCATATACTAAATATACTCGAGTTTCTGTGTGTGTGTGAATGTTTGTGTCGTGCGATAATAATCACAATAGCGCGCGATTCGTCGTCGCATTAATGGAGTGCACGCTGGCGCAGACGTTCGCGTTTGTTTAATTTATTTCGAGGTCGAATTCTACGACGTGCAGCGCATTCAAACACTCACTCACATACTCGCTTAACAACTCCTCTACATGCATACATGTTATACAATCGCATAAACACGCTAATGTTGCTAATAATTGTCTGATGGCTTTATTCTAGAACTATGAACCGAGAACGATAACAAATTTCAATCAAAACTAAACAAACAAATCAGAGAACAAAAACAAAATTAATCCATCACTGTCAATAAATATTTAAATAAGTAAATTTAACATTTTGTATTATTATTTATCATATAAACCGGTTTTTATTATAAAATGTGAAAGTTTTGTCGAGTTTTAGTACATGCAGCGGCCTCTATCGATTTTTTCAGAAACTATAAGATTTATTTCTGTCACACGCGAAATAAAAGTAATATTTTATTCTTTTATAAAGTAAATAATTACCGCACTAATGATAATCACTAGTGTTGCGTTAACGATTAGCATGATTAGCGTATCAGTTTAAATTTATGACAAGTGGCTTCAAATTGTTCAAATTACTCCCCGTACACAATTCTGTTTTTGTGTGCTTCTCGGTTGACTCATTTTCATTTGTCCCGCTGCGTGTCCGGTGACAAGTTCATTTTGTAATTTGTTGTTATTGGCGGGTCGCGTGCACGATTCGCGTCACGCCGCACGAGACATCATGCTTTTCCTGTTAGCGCAATCGATTCACGCAGGAATAGAAAACAAACATGACGATAGCAAAAGCAATCTGGTCGAAATCACAAATAACTACAACAACAGCACAACTACATGCCGTGCAGGCCGTAATAAGCGAGCAAGAATGATGAAATATCCCCGCAGGCGAATTAATTTCTAACCACAATTGGACAAGTTATTACATAGTCCTAAAAGTCATGAATCACGTACTTATAGATAAATATTTTAATAATTTCTCGATATAAGACGAAATTGTTACAATTGTCAAGTATGCATTGCGTTGCGTTGTGTATTCATGCGTCATTGATAGCCGCAGAGTGTGATTCTACTTGACCCGACATTATTATAGATTTAATGGAATAATTACTCGCCAAAAATAACCCGACGTAAACATGGAAAGTTTCCCACGAGCGTGTGTAACATATTTCGACATTCAAAGCAATTCAAAGCAGCGACCAAAAAAACACAAACAAGTTTATCTCGTTGATCGTATGTTAATTCAGGCTCAAACTTGTTACAACCAGACCAACATTCAAATGATTGAAGCTATATATAGATTGACTCATTGGAATAACAAAATAGATAATCAGATATTGATTTTTTGCATTACACACACACGTGGAATAAATTAGTCACGACCGAATATAAATAACACAAATAATGCCAATGCGTAATATACGATATACGCGTGAAACGTAATAATAATAATAAGTTTTGGTTTTCACTTGTCGACTCGCCGGTTGACCTTGTACTGCTTTTATGCTCGGCGAGTTATTACATTATGCTTATAAAGAAGACAAGGTAATCGCACGAATCGGACGTGACGCGCATGTTAAATTAGATGGAATTCAACCTGTAAATTCATAATTCTATTGAGGACCAAATGGTGTAAAAATTTAATGTAAAAAATTGAAATTTCAATTAAATTAAAATCATCATGGAAAAGATTTGCGCCTAAGAATTTTCATTAATGCAGTTACAAAACCACAGCAAATTTCAAACCTCCGCCAAAGTCACACGAACACACATACTCATCAAGTTTACCAAGTCACCTGAAGAACTCTACTTGAACAAACAACAAACAAGAAACAAGAACATTAAAGCCCAAGTATGCAAGTACAATCGTGTGATTCTTTGCCCAAACACATAATTCATAAAAATTCAAGATATTTTTTCGCTGTCACCGAATTTACGACGCCATAAAATACATTTTGAATACATATTCCTATACCCGTATGTTCAAGGTATTTTTGCACGAAATATTTAACCTTTAAACATTTTACGTGGCCATTAAATTTTGTGTATCTTAGATATTAATAATACAGTTTAATGAACTGCGATTGCAGCGATTGATATGTACGCAATACGCTGGGTATTGCACGGTCGAAAGACTTTTAACAAACTAATTAACACACAATGAGTAATAAAGTCGTAAACGTGTTGAACAAAAACTTTTTTCTGAAGGTCATTGAAAGTCGAACACTACGGTGAATAAACACGTTGTTCTTTTTATTAAAAATAAATATAAATGATAATAATGTGGTATTTTTAGTTTATCGTATAGGTATTTAACAAACAAAGCATTTTATGTTATTTCTGAGGTATGTATATTGAATACATGTGCTATTATTAACTCGCAACACGAAATTGTTATTATTTCTGCTCCACTTCGCGCTTTTGCATTCGTTTATTTGCATTCGCCGTTGATTTTGGCAGACGTCCAAATCGTTCTCGCGTAATTTATCTGTGTCCACACCGTGATAAATAGCTTTTTAACGTTTTTATCATTCTATCCGCGTTCGGAAAATAGATTTTTTCGTTTGGACGCGCTTCGAACATGGCGCGTTGAAAACGTGCCAAAGAGATTCCGACCGAAAAGTTTTGAGAAGTGGAGCCAAATTCCGGATATATTTATACAAATAAAATAATATAAATAAACCTAAACAAAATACAAATAAATATCCAACCAGAAACCGAATTTATTTAAAAGTACAACGATTTTCGCACTTTTTTCAATGAAAACTTGTCGATTAAAGCTCAGAATGCTACGGAAAAAAATGTAAAACAATCCAAAAGTATAGTGAATGTTTGCTGGCATGTAAAACAGAAATAATACACGTCGGAAAAACTAGAAAAGAGTTCCGCGCCGGAATCGCGCGCAACACGCGAGTCGCTCGTTACGGAGCTAATCATTTTTCAGTCCATTGGCGTGGTGCTTATTCATCGTTTGCTCTCGTGTCAAATTTTTAATGCCACGAACTATAATTACTGCAAAAAATGCTAATGCTTTGGAAAAAATTGAAACAGGAAAGTGGCAAACAAAAATTCAACAAACATGAAAAGCTCATAAATCAACTCAAGAGATTTGAACGGAAAACTATGAACACGCTAAAAATTAATTTTCGAACTTTTGAAAAAACCTCACAAATCAGAGAAATTTAGTGACAAATTAAGATTAACTCTAGATGAGTCCAGTCCAGTTAATTGGCAAAAATGGTTAAAACGCGGTAGCTTTCTGCACGCCAGCAACAAACCGGTTTACGGCTATCAACGCGCGCGGTTTTAATAGGCGCAATTTCGAATTCGATACCAGCCAGCCGGCTTGCAGGAAACTGGGTCAGAGTCGATTTATTTATGCGACTTCGTGTCGGCGGTCCGCATCTGTACGCCCGACGTAATGCGAAACACACACGCTACGCCACGTCGCGTGGGTAGAATTCGGATGCGATTATGTGCCGCGCGCGCGTACGACGCGAGTGCACGCGAGACACCCACAGGCAATGACTTTTCCTGCGGCCGTGTCTCGCCGCGTCTGCCTCATGCCAGCAGCAGGCAGGCAGGCAGCTTGAACTCGTTTCAAAGTTGGCGTGCAGCGCAATAAAAACGCATTTCATGCGCGCTCAACACTGGGCGGGCCATAATCGTAATGCAGCGACCGACAAATGCGAATTGCCAAGCGAGATTAAAGCCCGCAAGCCCGCATGCCAGCCGTATACAAACACGAATTATAATTGTTACGGGCGTAAATCACACGCATGCACAGACATGCGGAATGCCCGATAGTTTATATCAGCTATAAAATTTATTTCTGGAGCGAAAATGTTATCGTGTTTTCGGTTGAAAGCAGTAAAAGTATGCGCAGCGTTTCAACGGATTTAGAAATTTTTGAAAATTAAATTAAATACTTACGAGTGCAGGCCAAATAATAGGGGCCTTTGAATGCGTAAAGGGATCGGTGCGTTCCGCCCAGCAGAGGCCCTGCTCGACGACGAACATGTGAAAGAGGCCATCTTTGTAAACGCTGATCCATTCGCGTCGATGCCACTCCACATCATCGTACTCGACGAGCACCTGTAACAATAAAAATGCGCCCACAATTAAAAACGCATCATCAGGACTCAGTACGCGCCGTTCAAACAAAACCGAGACAAAAACAGCACAATCACCGTGTATAGTGCAGCATCTGCTTGATTTTCAAATGACCTTCACACAAACTACATTATGTAGGTATTTATTATTCACTTTCATATGAAAAATTTATTTCTAGAAATAAATTTACTTCAAGTATGTAATTTTATGACTAATGTAATAAAATAGACAAAAATGGAACGGATTTTAAAACTGATAAATATTAAACTGTCATTATTGCATCAATTGACCTTATCAAGTAATTGCGTTCATGGGATCACTTTTGTTTACTGAGTAAACTGTAAAAATACATAATAGTTAAATATTTGAACAAGTTGGTAAATGTAGAACAACTGATAATTCACTTCGATCAGATAAGTAGTGACAAACTTAAAGTGGATATTTCCATGCGAGTTAAAAATTAAATAATCTATAAGTAAGCACCCACTTAAATGTAATAAAATATTGAGTGCTATTTATAGAATGATGTGATATTTGATATCTACAGATATAATTCTAGATTTTTAATTGTAGTCTATTAAAATGGCAGGTGCAAATAATAAATACTTCCTGTCTGTATATGTAAAACAATGTGAAGTTGAAAAGATATAATTTCGTCATATAACTGAGCCGTAAACGTTTTAAGCGCGAGTAGCGTTTCGCAATAAATAATAACTACGTTTCACTTTCCTTTCATTCCAATGAATAGTAATAACCGCGTTTCCTTGACTTCCATGTCCGCCAGCGGCAAACCAAAACCACTGAGCAACTCAAATGTATTTTATTACGGTTTTTAGTTGTTATTGTCGTTAAAAAATAAGTTGAACGGTAAATGTAATTGTCTATGCTGGATACGAACCAATATAACGCAAAATGCAATATAAACTCATAAAACTCATAAAAATAGATTAAGAATATATAACAATAAATCAAAAGATATTTGTATAGTGTATGAATGAAAATGTATGCTAAACATGTGCGGGCGGACATCACTTTGAATAAACTATCACTGTCAAGTTACTTTTAGTGAGAGAGCAGTGGAATATGCAAATAAATCGAAAATGCAAAACACCAAAACATGGCGCAAGTTTTCGCTGTTCCCGATCTGCATTTTATGTTCAAAGCACGCCCACAGGGCTTTAAAATTGGTGTACATAACATTAACATATGCAATCATAAAAAGTTCAAAATATTAAAAGCTATAAAAGCTAAAAAAAGCTAAAAGTTTAGAAAAACAAGTAGAACTATCAATAATACAGAAATATTAAGAAATATTTCAGCAAGATTTAATACAGATTAAATTTCAAAGATGAAAATTATTTGAATTACATAAAACTAAAAGAAAAATAAGAGAAAATCTCAATTGAAACGTTGAAGACTTTTTTCCAGAAGCAATAACTTTAAAAAACAAATAAATTTCTATGATCGTTGAGCACTGAAAGACCCTGAAACGGCCGGCTTTTGTGTGTTTTATTCCTTTTATGTCGCTTTTGCAGCTCCCACCAATGCACAGGCCTCTTTATTTTTGGCACGCCGAGCGTGTATTTCGTCCCGGGCAAGACCCTTCGACATTTCCACCAGCTTCCAACGCGCGCGCTCCACTTTTTCTTCATTCGCGTTGTTATTGCCCCATCGCATTCGTGCAACAGTTTCGAGAATGAATACACACACCATAGTGAACTTCGACATGCGGAACTTTTCCAAACTCGCACACACAAACAAGTTTTCCAAGCGAAAAGATGAATAGCGGCGAGCTGGAGCTCAAACTTTTCATTCGTTTTATTCGTCTGAAAACGAGGCCGCCGTCGTCGTCGTCTGAATCGCAACATCTACACGGATGGTAGTAGACGGCGGCAGCGTTTATGTGTGCTGTTGGTGAAAGCGGAGGCGGCAAAGTTGGAACTTGGAAAATCCTCAATTACGCACGCATACAGCTGCGAAAGTATATTCAGGCCGCACACACATACAAGACACACACGTCAGCGGAAATTTATTATCAAAGTGGCAAAGCACAAAAAGTTGAACCGGGGGCGGCTGTGAGTAGCAATGTGTACGTGCGGCCTGCATGTGGATGAATGCCGAGCAACGCACACATCCACACAAAATACAATTACGATGCGGAGCGGGATAAGCGGGCCGCCGCCGCGCCAGTGTTTTCATTGCTTCCTCTCTCCCTCGCCGCCAACGCCGCCGCTGGTACCAGCATACCACTACCACAACATGCGAGCGTGCGTGTGCACATTCAGCGCGAGTTTGTTTGCGCCATTCCGGGCGGCAACGGCATCGACATCGACGGCGGCGGCGGCGGCGTCTGTTGCGTGGGCTACCCTAACCGAAAATCGATACGGCGGGGCGGGCAGAATCGTGCACCGACGTCGACCTCGTCACAACTACACACAGGGCGCATATTCATCGAGGAAAAGCCTGATGTTTGCCGCTCTCGCTCTGCCTGGGCTCTGTGTGGGGATTTGCAGGCGATGTAATATGGCCCAGCGATGGCTTTTTCGTTTTTGTTTATTCGCCCGCTTCGTTACACGTCTATGTCCGCTATGTTTCGTGTGTTTGTTCGCCGCGTTCTCGTGCCGTATTTGTGTTTGCATACTGTGTCGAGTCGAGTGAGCGAGACGAACGTGAAAATTGTAAACGAAACGCTCCGGCATCATTTGTGTACACACATTCGTACAAGCATAAAACTATTCGCTACCGGTGATGGGTGAAGTGTAGGTCGGCAATTGAAAATTTATCATTCAATGTTTGTTTGTTATAGAAAAATATAAAATTCGACATTGCCGAGAACCACCATCAGCGTAGCTAAACATTATTTATATTTAATTCAATCAACAATAATAAAATACCAATGAATATTCGAACGCATCCAATTTTTATGCCTAATATTTACTCTTCGATTGTATAATAATATAATATTTCTCTAGGACTAAGGGAAAAGTAGAGGTCAAATAGCGGACATGCTGTTTACTCGTCTGGCTAGAACAATTTTCGGCGTAAACAGTGAAAAACTGAAAAGCGTACGAATCAAATCAATACTTGTCAAGTCGTAAATTCGTCATGATGGTTATTAATATTTTCACAAAAATTGCCCGCGCACAAAAAAAAACAATAAATTACATTTTTATTCTATACTCAAGCCTGAAATCTAATTTCATTTATTAATGAGGCAGAAAAAAATTAATTGAATGCCGAAGGATATTATGCAACACAATATACGCGATTTAATTTAATCTAATGACTTTTCTGTCTTTAACAAAAATCTTTTAATATAATTCTGGCAATTAATATCTTAAAATAGAGAATTTCTAAAGTTTGATTTAATCATTAATACGCTAAGTGGTTTTCCTATTTTCCTGCAGGCGTGTTATTGTGTAAGCTCGTCGAGTAACTCGAGTAAAAACCTTTTAGTTTCAAGGAGAGTTCAAGGTGACTCAGGCTTTCCGTTCACCGCCGGCGTTTGTTGTGTGCGTACTCGCTTACTCATGTTACGAAAGTTGTGTGCCGCGCGTCGTGTCGCAAAAGTTACAACTTTTCTCCGCCTGCTGCCAAATATGTGTGTGCAGCACACAACACAGACACGCGCCATGCGAGCACAAACTTTTGGTTTTACGTCTAATATACGCCCGGCGAGAGTGTGAGTGCATTCAGCGCGCGCGCGATCAAATAATGAATGTGCTTGTTTTTCGTAATCCGTCGCGCCGTCGACGCGAACGAAAGTACCGTTGTGGTATCGATTGATGCGGTGCAGAGGGCGCCAGCTGTCGACAACGCAGCAAACCAGACGGACGACCATGTTGGCCGCCTGCTGTTACCATGCCAACAGGCGCGCGTTGGCATAGAAACGCAATGATGGCCGCCGTCTGACTCCGCCTAACATACCCGGACCTCTCATTCTATCGCTGTTAGTGGGAGAGAGAGTAAAACGGAGTAACGAAAGCAAGCACCACGTGCGGAGTCTCTATCTCACTCTGTATTATAACCGAAGGCCTGGCTAGAAAGAAAAGCCGAGTATGCAAGTAGAAGTGAGCAGACATATGAGTAACGCAGATAGAACGCCGTGAGTAACAGCCATTGAATAAACCTAGAGTGAAACGCATAAACACTGCGCCGGTAGACAGAAAATGATGGAAGATGAAAAGTAGGCGAAACAAGTTGCGCTCGTGGGAGTTGGGGCTTAGCAACGGCAAGCGGCGTTCGGCGACGAACATCACCGAGCTTACAACTCGCAGAGACGTTGTGCGAGTTAGGTCGATAGCGGGCAACGCAGTTCTCCTGCTGGCCTGCAGCGGGGTGCGCCATTTTAATATCCGAACATATTACCACAGTAACGAATAAATGGAGCGTTTCACGGATGGCTTGCGAAACAATTTCGCAAACAATTGCGCTCCAAACCAATGAAACCAAATTGGAATAGCGAATGCGTGGTAAACAAACAAAAACTTGTTTACGCGGTGCGTTCATTTGTAAAATTAATTTTTAATTAAAACGTCTACGAAAAAAATGCTTCAGAAATAACTTGCGTAATTATTATAATTGACGAGAATTAAAAACTCTATTTATAGTACAGTAGTCGCCATCTATGGGGCATTTTGCAAATTATTACACATTTAAAAGCTATATTAATTTTATTTCATAGTAAAATTTGTGTTTATTCGTTAGTTTAATTGATTTTGGGTCCAGTTTGACTTAAAAAATGTAATTTCAAAAGAAAATTCGTCAAAAATTCATCAGTTTTTAATAAATTTGAAAAAAACTTTCTTCCACGTGCGTGAGTAATAAAAAATCCAACTTCATCATAACATTTTCCAGTTTTCACTCTGTTGCAATACAACAATAAATTAGCATACATTCATTGTACGTAAATTCAAATGCTGTCTAATTATAACATTAATAATGAAAGCAACATTGAGTAACACTATCAGCTCGCGCTTGTG